GTCTATATTTGTTATGTTTTGTTGTTTATTTTTAGTTACACAAATATTTATATATATATATATATTGTCTACATCTATATATATATAATTGTGTGGCTGTGGCTGTGGCTGTGGCTGCGGGTGTGGGTGGGTGGGTGTGTGTGTGTGTATGCATATTTATACTTGTTTATATGTGTTTTGTATCTAGTGTGGGCATACGTATAAGCTATGGGTATGAATTTTACGCAAGCCACCTGGTTCTGCTTGGATGTTAGTCTGCTAATTGTATCTACTTTGCACAACAGGTCATTATACTAGGAAATTCGGGAGTGGGGAAGACGTCACTCATGAATCAGGTGCGTTTTTATCCACCATGGCAGTTTTACAAGTTTAGAAATTAAGTCACTGGTTGCTACCGTGGCTCACACAGACCATTGAGAGTGGCTTGGTAAATGCGATGGTTTGTACTATACTGAATCATTCTAAATACTGGCAATGGACACTGTAGACCACTTAGAACATAGTCAATTACGGAACTGCCGTTTGTCTTGCGTCGGACTTATTCTCCTGTATGTTAGAGCTCTCGGGATGTTGTAAGATCTTGCATTAGAGCACATACAGCCTTGCATTGGAGCTGGCATAGAGCTTTGCATTAAGAGTTTGCACGGGCTTTTGTCAGATCATAACAACTTCTGGCCACTGTTTTTCTGTATTAACGTATCATTCCTGTTTCACGCAGTTCGTGAATAAGAAGTTCAGCAGCCAGTACAAAGCAACGATTGGGGCAGATTTTCTGACCAAAGAAGTCATCGTCGATGACCGTGTGGTGACTCTTCAGGTAAGCTTCGTTTGCCATACTCAATGATACTGTCTGTACGTCCTAGTGCATGTACATTGTTTTAGAGAAATATCGTTGTGAAAGATTGCCTAGATACGTTATATTCCAAGTATCGTTTAAACTCTTGTCTACTAGCACTCAAACCTTGCGATTGTATTTTAAAAAGAGCTAGATGCGATTTCCCTAGTACATGTACGTCTATGCATCTGCTAATATATAGTCAAAAGTTCAGTCAACTGTTTAGTTGGCATAGTGTATCGGCATGGACCAATACGTATCAAGCAAGGTTATGATGTGTGAAGTTTGTGCACTGCAATTTTTTTTCTGGACAAGACCTCCTGCTCACAGATGCGTATAATAGAGACGACTTAAATATGTTGTGTGTGTCCTGACGAAACAGTTCGTTGAGTGTTTGTGAATACAAGTTTTGCGATAGCATCCACCGATCCGAGTATATTATGCGCGTGACATTCAATTCTAAATGCAACCCCAAGATTACACAACATAATTCCGAACCTATACCATCCCTGTTTTGTGTGTTTCTAGATCTGGGACACCGCCGGACAAGAACGGTTCCAATCACTGGGTGTAGCGTTTTACAGAGGGGCTGATTGCTGTGTGTTGTGTTACGACGTGACTGTCAACAAAACATTTGAGGCCCTGGGCAGCTGGCGGGACGAGTTTCTGATCCAAGCAAGGTATGTCAATGCGTTGTGTTCGCTCTGGGGGGGGGGTTATAATCGGGCCTTTTATTTGTCATGATTCTCTGTCGGATTTTATAAAGGAATCATTTGGGAGTGCATATGAAGAAGTTTCAATGATTGTTTTGTTTTTGTTTTTTGTTTCGTATTAGTTTTTGTGGGCTTCATGACCTGTATTATCTCTTTTGCTGGTGTCCCTCGTGTTTTGGTCTCATCATTCGTTGAATCCTGATAATTAAATCGCCCCATACAACTACACTGACAACACTGTTACTTCCAACCTTGCTACACTCCAACGACAGTCCCAGAGATCCGGATAACTTCCCGTTTGTTTGTTTGGGTAACAAAGTGGACCTCGACCAGCGACAGGTTCTGGCGCAGGATGCGCAGGAGTGGTGCGAATCTAAAAATAGCATTTCACACTTCGAAACGTCAGCGAAAGAAGGTCTGTGTTTACGTCTCATACGCAGCCTTCCCTTTGTAGCTGTACTTTCACTTCTCTGTTTGTGCTGAGCATATTGAAAGCGTGTGTACAACTACCATGTGTGTCCTGCAGTCTGGGCCTTGTCGAATACTTGGTCGAAATTTTCATTATGCGTATATCGTCCTCCGTGATAACAAAGCCCTCATTTGTTATGCTCACTCTTGGGATGATATATCACAGCCATCAACGTCGAAAAGGCTTTCCTCGAAATTTCGCGTGCTGCGCTGCGACAAGAAGCAGAAGACCAAGCATATACCAATGACTACTCGGACACAATCAAAATTAACTCCAACCAGAGTCAACCTCAGCAGGCCGACAGCTGTCAGTGCTAATCACCCACTTGAGGTAAACTCATACCAAATTTTTGTGTGCCGGGAGAGGCCATATATTTTTTTAAATCAGACCATCCCTATTTCTTGACAGTCTTTCTGTTGTGACCCTTGCGATCGTACGACTGGTCACCTGTGGCGTGTGGGCAACAAGTATCCTCCACTCCACTTCTGTCGGCTGTGCATGGTTCGTGGACAGCGCACGTTGTTTATTTGGCGAGAAGTTTGACCAATTCTTATTTGCTCGATGTTTATTGCTTATTCGATCACGAACGTTCCTTGAATGTAACCTAGAGTATTGCGTGCCTCAATCGTATATGACAGGGAGTATGGTCCAAATTCCGTATCGTGTTTGAATACTTTTCTGTTTGATCTGTCTGTGATACCTGTGACCTACTTCGATAGACCAATAGCGCCGCATCAGCTGCACAATGAAATTTGTGTCGATCTGGTACGCTTATTCCTGCTCTAAAGCCCATCATGCACTCTTCAATTAAACCTCAGAAACAGACGCCTTCCGTTCGACATTCCATTCGACCAGAATGTTGTTAGAACGATCGAGGAGGCAAAGTAGTAGATGTGTATGTGCATGTGACCAAGCACATGAATATTTTGAAATGCTATATAATAAATGAAAGAGTATGCTGAATTACGAAGATAGAGAAAAATAAATCTTGTTGAAAAACATAATGTAGCCACGCCGAGTATTTGGGCTCGTCTTGCAAGAGATTTGTGTTCAATCAACTATATTTATATATATATAAATATATGTATGTATGTATGTATGTATATATGTATGTATGTATGTATATTTATATACATATATATATATATATGTATATGTATATATATTATATATATATATATATATATCTATCTATATATATATATATATAGTATATATATACTA